CGACGAGTGTCTGAAGCATGTCCAGGTACCCGAGATCAAAATGTCCTTCCTTTGTGATCCATTAAATTTAGTTTTTATTAAAAAAGGTACAGACCATGTTTTGTGCTTCAAATTCAAGATCATGCCTGTAACAGATTCATATATGGGCTTCATGTCCCGATGCTTGAAAGGAGAGGAGATTCAGACCACTCGGGATGAGATTTCTAGTTCTTGGTATGAAAATGCACAGGCCATGCAAGAACTGCGAGAAGGTCTCGAGTATTTTGGAAGTGTCTTTAAGGCTTTCAAGAAAGCGAAAGGCTTTTGCTTTGTGGTGACTCAAGAGACCCCCACTACTGTCAGCGAATCTCTCTATCAGATCATCTATTGCTACAAGGGAAGAGTACAGCCTTTACTTCCCCCTGGGCGGCCGGGAACACCAAGACCACTCAAAGTGACAAAAGATTCCATCGAAGTGACATGGGACCGGCCTGCAAAAGGAGCAGAGTCTGTTCAAGGATACATCGTCTCGCACAAGTTATACGTGGGCGAAAAATGGACCACCTGCAAGGTTGATAGGAATACCATGACGGCCACTGCGTATCACTTATTTCCCAACACAAAATATGATTTTAAGGTGAGTTCTTTTTCCTTGAAAAGCATGAATCCTTTCGGAACCGAGATGGAACTATCTTGATAACTGGGAGGAATCGTGCTCCCTGATGGGGAACAAGTCGAGTGGCGATGTAAAGACGGAATGGTTGATAAGAACGGACCAGGATTCAGCAACGGTACTTTACCATCGTGTAGCAGGGCTCAAGTGTCCACAGTATCATTTTTACATTAAAGCCCCCTCAAATTTTTTCCCCATTCTGTAAGGTATTTTAAGGTTTTGAACATAACGTTTTTCAACATGAAACTTAGTCATTACGGACCAATTAAGTGAAGACGAATGAAACTGAACATAACTTACAATTTAAAAATGAATCGGTGCGAAAACCATTTTTTCAAAGCTTTTCATCTTTCTTCCAACTACACCTCTCCCCTACCCCATCTCTACTGGATTCACTAACATGAGGCCTACTCCTCACCCACGGACTGTCATTAGGTCAGGCTCTTTTCTCGTCAAAAAGAATCTCATCCCTTGACTTACGGGGTCAAATAGGCTTGTTGTACAGGTAGTTAACCCCGGGGTCTTCAAGACATCTCCGTGAGGACAAGTAAAGTTTGGCCGATTGCATGCCTATTCCGTCACTGACGAACCATTACAGGACGACGTGTAACATTAGACCGATTTCGAGATCTCGCGCGCTAAACCTAAAGGAACTACAGCAAATTTCATTCTTTAAAATGCCGAAATGATGTATTGCAAGCAATGAAAAGGGCACTTTTCGTGATCTACAGGTGGATATATTTCTTTTGGTTGGAATACTTTTCCCGAAAACACCCCAGGAGGGGCTATGAGGAGGGGAGAAAAAAAAAATCAATAGGCGCGGGAGCGCCTATTACTCCAACCCCTTCCTGTAACAAAATTCAACCTCCTCGTATTCCTCTCTGAGAGCATCAACAGGAACGAAATTGGGAATCCTTCTCTCAACACAGAATTGCTCCAGCAAATTTGAAGCTCTATCTCCCCGGAGTTGAGAGCACTGAATCTCGCTTTTTTAAGAAGTCAATTTCATTCCGGTATTCCCCCCCCCCCCCCACCTCCCCCCCCAGGGCAGTCACTCCTGAGGGGGGGGTTCGGAGGAAACAGACCGATCGAAAGAAATATATTAACTTGTAGNAGTCAATTTCATTCCGGTATTTCCCCCCCCGCCCCCCGGGGCAGTCACTCCTGGGAGGGGGAGGTATATACTGTATATTAACTTGTAGATGACGAAAAGTGCCATTCTTGCTGTTTGTGGTGCACCATTTCGCCATTTAAAAAAATGAAATTAGGACTTAAGGCTTCATCTGTCGTTCCATGGCCAGTAGGAAATCGCATGTTATCAAGGAAGTTAGGGGACTTCCATGTGAGAAACGTTTAGAAGTGTTGTGATTGTACTTGCTCGTGAGAAGGATAACGAGGGGGGATCTCATCCAGGCTTTAAATATCATTACAAGTATCGACAACGTAGAGCGGGATACTCTCTTCCAGATTTACGGCAGTACGAGAACGAGAAGAAATCAACTTCAGTTGCGTTAACACCGTGAACGGCTCAAGTTGCAACAAAATTTATTTACTTGCTGTGTGATGAATGGCTGGAATGCGTTAATTGATGACGTAGTGGCTGCCCCTTCGTGGTTAGCTTTAAGAGACTAGATGACTTCATGAACAAAGCAAGGGGAGTAATGTAAATGTTAAGGGACTAGGCAATAGGAGGACTTTACAATAAGAGACTAGGATTTGCTAAAAAAAAAATCATAAGAAAAATAAAACTTAAAAAAATCTAACTTAGAGAGGAGTAGGGTTATCCTATGTTACTGGTACTGGAATGCTCGACCTCGGCGCGGGATATCCCTGTGGGCGTAACCGCCTCTTGATGTCCCTTCCCAAACATTGATACCTCGATACCTCGAAATTTGCTGTTGTTCATTTAAGCTTTGTGTGCTGTCTTCGGTCCGACCCCTAGTGTTACCGGATGTCGTGCCGGAGTTATGTCACACTCTTGACTGCTTCGGCCTTCGTATCGGTATCTGAATCTTCTGGGTATGGGACATTTTTGTGCTGAGTTCATGAGATGAAATTGAAACCGTAGTTAGCTGCGACCGATCGATGTGGTGGGATATGGAGATATCTTATCCGGACATTCCTTAATTAACTGGATGTCGCGCACCATGGATTTCACGCTTCCTGGAGGGGCATTCCCTCCTCAGACCTATTCGAGATTGTTCAAGAAACTCGAAACAGGCCTCTAATTGGTCTAGTGTTACGCGTCCTCTCTGAAATGGGTCGTGAGAGACTGAATAAGCCTGCAATGTCCTAACGTTACACGTCTTTGGCGAGATGTCTGGAAGACCAGGGATTGATCCTTCTAGGTCTAATTGGCCCCGTAAGTCAAGGATTGAGTTTCATTTGAACAAAAAGAGGTAGGCCTTGGCCTGACCCGAGGACGATTGGGTTTCGGCCTAACGTTAGTGACACCCTTTGAGAAAGGGGAGAGGTGGAGTTGCGGTTGAGGCTGAAGAAAGGGAAACTTTTGAAAAAAAAAAAGGGTTTCACATTACTTCATAATGGAATTGAATCCACTTTTTCAAAAAGCGAAAATCAGTGTTCTCCACAACCATGGGGAATTGAAGCTTCAAATTAGCCGAAACGATTCTGTGTTGAGAGGGGAAGAAGAATGCTCAATTACTTCATAATGGAATTGAATCCACTTTTTCAAAAAGCGAAAATCAGTGTTCTCCACAACCATGGGGAATTGAAGCTTCAAATTAGCCGAAACGATTCTGTGTTGAGAGGGGAAGAAGCATGCTCAATTACGTTCCTCCCGGTTCTCTTAGAAAGGGATACGAAGAGGTTGAATTTTGTGACAGGAAGGGATTGAAGAAAGGCAATAGGAGCTACCGCGCCTACTGATAAGCAGGCAGGCATTTTTCTGTAATAAGTCACATGTACTGAACCAGTACTGGAGAAACTAAGTATGGGGAAATGTACCCAAGCTTCAAAAGTGTATTTAAACTCTATTGTACAGGTGCAAAGCATTTGGACATTGGGAAATGCTGCAGAGAGTAGATTGAGCGTTCCAATCAAAACCAATCCGGTGAGTGATTTTCACCCTCTTGAATTGCATTTAAAAAAGACGTCCTTGATGTAATTCTAAATTTCAGGCAAGGCAGCAAAATTCATTGATAAGAGAAATCAGAGGATGGTGGAAAGTAAGTTTTGGTCAGGTGGAGAAAACAGTGGAATGGGTGAAGGGGAAAGAATACTGGATACCCGATGGAGCGGTCCCAGGCGGGGGAGAAGGCAGAGATACGCTCTATGTAGCAAGAGCAGAAGTAGGACGCAATCTGCTGCCTGGGAGGTTTCATCCTGTCCATCGTGTCTGCTTCGTTCCATGGGACTCCATGGAACATCAGGCCAAGGTTTTCCAAGTGAGCTGAGCTAGGTTTTCATCGTCTTCGTGTGCTAAGGTCGTACCTCGACTTTTTAACATTTGCAATTAAAGCGGAAAACTGTTGTCTATTAGCTGTCACTAGCTACTAGCAGGATAGAGCAAATGAGCTTAATAATTATGTCGAATGGAAACGAAATTTTTTACGGCGGTCAACTATCCTCCAAAGCCAGGATGGATATTATGAAAACGGAAAAAGAACATTACCCCTGCCAGCCTAGAGAAAACCTTGTGCACAAAGGCGACGATATTTTGCGATGCGAGACAGAATATTATCATTACAGGTCGATGGGTTAAATAAGGATTTTTGGAGATAGAAATGAAACACTAAGACGTAATGAAATTACGCGAAACCTTTTTTCAAAGGCTTTCTTTTTCTTCAAACTCAATCGTAACCTTAAACACCCCTTCTTTCCCGGACTCACCAACGATAGGCGTAGGCCTAACCTTCTTCAGGTTAGGCCAAGGTCTTTTTCGTTCAAAAGAAACTCAATCCTCGACTTATTTCCCCAATTAGGCCTATAAGGGTCAATACCGTGGTCTTCAAAACAACTCGTTGAGGACGTGCAAAGTTTGGCCGATTGCAGCTCAAACTTTCCAGACCAGACCAGGTCAAACTTTCACGAACCATTTCATATAGGAGGTGGAACGTTAGGCCTAACTGGAGGTCCTCGAGCCATCTCGATTAGCCCTGAGAAGAGAATATCTCCAGGAAGCAAGGAATGCACGATGGACATCATCCTGTTAAATTAAATCAGAGATGTCTAGACAAGATATCTCCATATCCCACCGCATCGATCGGCCACTGCTAACCGCCGTTTCAATCTCAGCTCATCTCATGAATTCAGCACAAAAATGTCCCATACAAAACAGAAAAATATAACAGAAGATCCAGATACTAATACGAAGGCCGAAGCAGTCATGAGTGTGACTTTCATCCAGCACGATATCCGGCAACACTGGGGGACGGGACTGGAGCTAAGCCTAAATGAATAACAGTTAAATTCTTTTTTTTTTTAATGGGGAAATGGTTCATGAAGCAACAAAAAAGTCTTTTAACGCTATCTAGAAGTCAATATATTTCTTATGATTGGTTTCTTTACTCTGAAAACTCCCTAGAAGTGGCTACTCAGGGGTAGGGGGAAAGAAATAAATAAATAATACCGGAATGAAATTGACTTATTCAAAAAGCGAGAATCAGTGCTCTCCACAACCCTCGGGGAGATGGAGCTTAAAATTTGCTGGAGCAATTCTGTGTTGAGAGAGGAAGAAGGATTCCCAATTGCGTTCCTTGATGTTCTCAGAAAGGAATACGAGGAGGCTGAATTTTGTAACGGGAAGGGGTTGGAGAAAGGAAATAGGTGCGGCGCCTATTGATATTGATTCCCCCTTAAGAGACGATATTGCTTTCCTCATCCCCTTCTTCTATTGCTTGAATTCATTGGTTCTCTTCCCTTTTGCTTCTTGCTCATTTCATTTCACAGGTTCTGGTGAGCCGGAAACAGGAGAATTTGGATTGGGTTCCAGCATCCCTAGGTTCAGTCCCTCCTGGTGCCTTGCAGGGTGGACACACCGACGATGGTGAAGCTTTGTACATTGGGAGGTATATCTACGAAGGCACATATATCTGTGGCAAGGTATGTGTAATCCATTTTCTCTCTACCTTCGTCCATTCCCTCCCACCCTCTTGGAATAATGAGCTGAAGAGAAATCGTTGATTGTTTAAACCGAATAAAAAAATGGCAGTGACGGTCAACGTGTTAAATAAGTGAAACTCCCCTGATGAGCCTCGAGCGACCAGCATCAACGAAGTAGAACCAATAAAGCTGCATCCCAGCCCCAGAAGTCCCAATTTTAAGGGTGCCGTACCATTCAGATCTTCCCAATAGCTGTCGTGCCTCTCATCCAGGGTTGGACTAATCATACCAGGAGGTGATTGTATACCGAAAAATTAAGGTTGGGTGAATGTAACCTGTTTTATTTATGGGTTTTTAATTGAAAAATCTATGATCAGGCTAAGGATCCAGCAATCGTGTGGCTAAGGTTTCGTCGGCTTGATTACTTTCGCCTTGATTACTTCGCCTTGATTACTTCTCACCAAGTGAGAGGCGAGGAGAAGTCAACCCCCCCTCCGCACTACACCACTGGGATCCAGGAAAATCCTTCGTAATAATTGATGTTTGGGTTTGATGAAAAGTGTTATGAATCAGTGTGTTCTAGGTATATGTGGAAAGTAGTACTGTGTAGATCCTAGGACTTTGATTCTATCGATGTGGAAGTGTATCCTGCAGAACGTTTCCCTTACTATCTCCATATACTATACTTTCTACCATTATAGTTGATGGCGCATGGCCGATAACATAATGAAATTATGGTTGGCATGTATTCAATGCGTGTGCAGGAAGAATTCCCAAATAAAAAATTCACTTGAAGCATCCTGACTCGCAATCCATGGCTTTTGTCTCTGTGCAGGTGCACCCGAGTCTAAAGGTGTGTTACATCTCTCATGGAGGTGAAGAGCACAAATGCGAGCACTATGAAGTATTAGTGGATAAAACTGCGGGCAAGCCTTGATCAGCTCATTGCGGAATAGACCATTCCACAAATTCAGGGCATCGGATCTTCATGATGCTTTTCATCATGCTGCTGCTCCCTGGAACTGCCTCCACCTTCTAGTGCAAAAAAACTGCCTTTGATTAAATATGATAATACATTGTGATGAAACTGGCTTTGATGCTTCAATGTGGCTATTCGAGGGATATTCAATAAGTTTTAGCAACACATTTTTACCCCTATTGGGAAATGGGGAAATGGGGAAGCGTCGAAGGAGGTCGGAGTCGCAAGCGGTGTCCCTCAAGGCGAGGTCCGCCGACCGCTTCTGTTTTTGGTCTACATAAATGATTTGGATCTCGGCGTAGAGGGTAAGATAAGTAAATTTGCCGACGACACCAAGATAGGTTTTACCATAAGGGGGGAGGCGGATAGGGCTAGAGCCGAGCGAGATTTAAGTCTTTTGGACGAGTGGAGCAAGAAATGGCTCATGAGGTTTAATAAAAGTAAGTGTGAAGTTCTCCACGTCGGGCGAAAGAACGGTAGGTCTCTCGACACGTTCGGCGATGTTAAATTGGATGAGGCAAACGGAGAGAGAGATTTAGGTGTTTCTATCGATGAGGACCTCAAATTTTCCTCGCACGCGCAAGCGACGGTGGCCAAATGCAATAGGATTCTAGGTTACATTCGTCGGTCGGTTGCAAGTAGGACATCTCGCGTTATTCTTCCGTTGTATGCGGCGCTGATAAGACCCCAGCTGGAATATTGCATCCAGTTTTGGAGGCCTACAAATAAGGGCGATCTGTTGGCGCTCGAGGGAGTACAGAGGAGGGCCACAAGAATGATTAAGGAGGTTAGGGGACTATCATACGAGAAGCGTTTAGAAGTGCTGAGACTGTACTCGCTCGAACGAAGGTTAAGGAGGGGCGATCTCATCCAGGCTTTCAAGATAATTAAAGGAATAGATAATGTCGAGTGTGGTAGGTTTTTCCAGTTTGATGACAGCAAGAGAACGAGAGGTAACCGACTTAAGTTGCGCAAACCGCAGGTGCGGCTCAGGTCGAGACAGGAATTTTTTACTTGCAGAGTAAAAAAGTCGACGAACGCGTGGAATGCGTTAGATGACGAAGTAGTGGCTGCCCCACGCTGTGACTATCTTTAAGAAGAAACTAGATGCTTTCATGGACAGGCAAAAAGGTGGGGGGCAATGTTGACGTTAGGTACTAGACAGTAAGCAACTAGGATAGTCAAATAACAAAAAAAAAACAAAAACAAAACAAAACAAAAATACAAAAATATTTAGCTTTAAGAGAGTTAGGCCTACCCTAAAATTAAGGAACGCTCGACCTCGACACGTGATATCGAAATGGGCGAAATCGCCTCTTGATATCACTAACTATCTTGAATCTTGAAAAAGAGCTATGAACTCCATATTTGAGCATCTCCCCTAGGATATTCCCCCTCAACATTCACAACGTTGCCCCCTTATCAGAGACAGATAAAGACATTCATGGCATTTAGGTTGAGATGTAGCTCTCATTGAGCAAAATGTTCCATTCCAGCAAGCCATATGTCAGGGTCATTTTCCTTCTGGTATATTTTCTGTTTTACTATCTTATACAAGGCAAATATTCTCCAAGATTATTTTCAGCTTTCAAATCATGGCTGCACAGAATGAATTTTTATTAATATACTATATATACTGTATATACAGGGTGGGCCAAAAGTCTTTGATCAATTTTACAATTCAATTAAAAATTATAAAATGCCAGGGAAAATGTGAAACCATTTTTATTTGATGGATACATACATAAAGGTTTTTTTCATACATTCAGCACACGATTTAATGTGGGCACCCTGTGTCGCACGGAGAACATCCAGTCGAAATTCCACTTCTTCCCATGTGCGAGCCAGCATGCCTCTATTGATTGTTGTGATGACATCCCTGATCCGTGTCTTCAGATCCTTAACTCCTGTGACCTTGGTAGCATAAACCTTATCCTTAACATAACATAACCCCACAGAAAGAAGTCTAGAGGTGTAATGTCTGGGGATCGAGGAGGCCAAGCAAGTTGGCCGATAACCCATTACCTGATCCCCAGATACATGACCTACACTCGGAGTCGATGTAACTGACGAGCTGGTTCTGAGTGAATAAAAATATTCAGAGAGAGGGGCAATGTGGAATGGTAGCGTTAACAAGTTCACAGAGTCTGATGTCTGTCGTAATGAGAGTTTAGTACTCCCAGTCCGAATGAAAGAAGACGAGACAATGTGGCTGCAACCACTTCAGTCGATAGCTTAGAGCATTCGGTGGAAACCTTGTTTTTCTCTCTTGCGATTTTTCTCTCTTCTGACGCTTTTCTGGCTTTCTTTGACTATCGCTAAGTTTTGAAAAGCAAAAATTACGTAAATTTATCGAAAGTGGAGCGAAACTTGTTTCATTTTAATACAAATGTCAGCGAACACAGATTTAAGGAATTCATATTTTTCGAACAGCTCAACTTTCAAAAAAGTTACCTGCGGTGCGCGCGAAATGCCTCTCCACTTTGCTTCACTTTGCCAACGGTTGAAATCTACTGGAAGATATGCAACAATTTTCTCTTTTCCTCTAAATAGACCAATTGGGACTGGCTGTATCATGTGTTCAGTTCAAGATATGGCTCGTGACAAACAAATATACAGTGAGACTCGAAACAAGGATCCTCTCTCACCCCCCCCCCCTCCCAACTGGACCCTGAACGCATACGCAAATTGTAATTTGAGGATAGGGGGACTGAAGGAGTCATGTAACTAGAAAATTGAGTTTGAGCATAATTTTTGCCTATTTAGTTGGGGTTCAAAATCAACAACAGAGGCATTAAAAATTATTTTCAAGTAAAGGGTTTGAGACACCATACATGGTGAATAATTCAGAGATGCATAGGAACAGAAGCGAAATTTTTTAATGTAGCATATTATGCTCATTCATCTAACCTTCAATGTACTTTAGCTCTTTATACCACATGCTATACTCAGGTGTGGGAAAAAGTGGGGGAAATCATTCATGGATATAAGGTAAATAATTGCCAAATTTACATTACTTTTTTTTTCTTTTTACAAATATTACATCTCTGGATGCCTGGAAGTAGTCCTTTTTGTACACTCCATGATACTGGTGGTCAAGAAAATCTACTAGATGAGGCATGAACTTTTTGTTTTAAAAATGTTCTTCGTCCGGATGTGCCTGAGAAATTTAGGGATGCGATTCCTCCCATTTTCAAATTGAATAGTCTTATGGTTACGACTTTCTCAATACCAAAATCGCGTGTTTTTCATGTGGGCTCAATCAACATGACGAACACTGGCTTCTTTTACCTTAGTAAAAGAAGCCAGTGTTCGTCATGTTGATTCGTCAAGAAGCATGCCTCTTCCTAGAAGAGGCAGGCATGCCTCTTCTAGGATTCATGTTCTCTCACTCATTAGAACTCCTCATTAGGATTAGGCCTCCAAAACTGTTCGGGGTAATACAACAGAGTTGCAGGGGACAACAGTGTTTCATATTGAGCTTGTACGTGACATTCTACTGAGTATTGCACGTAGATAACACGAGATCGGTGTGGTGACAAGAAGGATTATAAGAGGAATCTCCTACATGACTGTAGGCGGCTCCGACGTGATTTAACGTTAATGATAATCACGAAGAGATCGCCAGCGTGTTCGAGGTTCATAATGACTCCGTTGACTCCTTAAATATACCATTACTTTATTGTGACAACCAGCTTGGAAAGAGGTCAATAATAATGAGAACCAGGAAATGGATATGGGACAAAAATTAAAAATTCTGTTCCCTTAAACGCTTATTAGGCAATAGATACTAAACGAGCAATACCTGAATATAAACCCGTGTGGTATCGGTGGGGTGACAGACAGCATACGATCTCTAGCACTGACGTCAAGGGTCCACTCAATATCCCGCGTCTTCTCTCAGGTTTCTCCTCACTATTCTACAATACGACTCCCTTGTCCGACTCACTCACTTGACATACCCGACTCGACCCGACCCGACCCGACCCGACGCGAGTCTTCCGCGCGACCCTTTTATTCCGTTATGCCGGACATGCGCATTATCTTTTACGGTGATTTCATCATCTTTATAAAAGTACCTCCTACATGACATTGAATACGTCCCATCAGGATTACTTTACACTTCATGCTTTCATGAGTAGTATTGGCAAGAAGTCAAAGAAGGTTTTGCGCTTTGGAGATTTTAATATGGGCAACATAAGTTAGTCGGTGCCACCAGTGGCGTAACTAGGTAATTTGCCGCCCGGGGCGAGTGAATGTTACTGCCGCCGCCATACTCCAGCCCCCCC